CAAAACCCACAAAAGACCATTGTTCTGAATACTTTTGGGGGTCCAGGTATTATTAACTAGGGCTCCTTATCATAATTTTACTATAATGTACCCCAAAGCCCTATTCTAGTCATCATCATCATCCCTATGTTTCATCCTTATAGTTGCTAGGCCCCGACCAGCATTTAGTAACAGATGTCCCCGGCCGTGTTCCAATATCAACCTCTCCCAAACCCTAAACCACATCCAGCCTAATCCCTAAACCCTCCGTAGAACGACCATTCAAGGCACCTGGGCCACAACCTGCCAGACGCTGCCGGCAACCGCTACTGCATCGACTTGCTCTGCATCGCGGGTCATCCGAAGCGCCTTCCTCCAAACTACAAAATGATGGTATAGCAATAGTGTAGATACAGTTGTAATTGCTTTGATGGCAGTATGAGAGCAGAAAATGGCAACAATGCAAATCACTAAGCTTAATTAAATCAGAACTAATGCTTAGTAATTGTAACATGTCTGGTTGCTACCAGGTGTGTTGTTTTGTCTTTGCATCCGACCTGGCTGTTCATGGTGTGGTCAAAGGAGCCGACTGAAATCAAAGTTTACACACACAATCTGAATTTTCTGGTCAGTTACGCCCCAACCACCGTGATCGTTAACCCGAAAAGGTTGAATCCTCAGCCTGAAATGCTTAAAATCCGGGAGCCCAAGCCCAAACAAACGTAACCCTAAACCCTAAACCCTAAATATAGGCCATAAACTCAACCAACCCCAAAAATCGAAGACTTCAGCCAGATAGCTCCCAATTCTGTGGACGCCAATCTCCCTTATATGATTAAGGAATTCCTAGGGCTCCTGTAAGGGATCTATAAGGGATCTATAGGGTTTAGTGTTTAGGGGATTCTAGTATCCCTGAATTCAGGAATATACTTTAAACCATAGTAGGAATCCTAATATAATTCAAGTTATATTCTGTACTTCAGGGAGTCTCCGGAAATTCTGTGGACGCCAAGGTAGTCTTCGAGGTCCCGTGGACAATGGCCGGACGGGGATTTCGTGTTTAAGGGGTTTACGGTTTACTGCGGCTCCACTCGCAAAAGTTTCGTGTTTGACGATGGTCTGGGTGTTTTTGGGTTTAGGGATCTGGGCTTACCAGGACCCCCGCAAGTACCCTTTAAAGGGCTCTGATTTTTCTCATTAAGAGGTAATTGTGGACTACTAGAAAGGGTAGTTGGGGGGTCTGGGTAGATTGGAAGGTTGAAGTTTGTGAGGTTTCCGTAAGATTTAGGATGGTGGGTCTCGGTGGGCTTCAGGACTTTCTGGCATTGTTATTAAGGCACAGTGGGCTTTGTTGAGATTTTAATCGTGCGGGTCTCTGCTTTTGGGTATTTTTTAGGGCAGGCTTCTTGTAGGGCATTAGGATGATGGTATATCCACGCCATCTTCGCAGTACATAGTGATAATGGTGCCAGTATATAAGTATATTTTATGCGTCCTTGTAGGAGTACTATTAATGAATAGAAGAAGCGACTCTGCTTGATCTTGGCTTTGCGACCGCAAGAAGGATGACGTATGATGACCATGACTGGTGTCAGCATGGTGTTGTTTTTCTTGACAACTTCCTGAGGTAATATGAAGTTGTATGTTATTGTGTGTTAGATATTTAGAAGTGCCGTCATCATTATCCGTTTTGGTTTCATGAGAAAGCATGCCCCTGTTATTATCGCTATCCAGGCAGTTACCACATTACCCCCCACATTTCTGCCCAATACTGATGATACCTTAAAACTTCTACTAAACCTTAAACCCCTCATAGAACCCTTATAGGTCCCTTATAGGAACCCCTATAGATCCCTTTAAAAGGACCCTTATAGGTCCCTTCTAGGAGCCCTTACAGATCCCTTCAAAAGGACCCGAAAACCCTAAACCACTCCAGGGGCCCAGGGTCTGACTGATGAGTCACATGATCCTAGTTTTAGAGTTTAGGGTTTAGGGATTAGGGATAAGGGTTTAGGGATTAGGGGGTTAGGGTTTAGGGGTTTAAGGTTTAGGGTTTAAGGTTTAGGGGTTACTTGGAGGGTCGGGGGACTTAGAAAGTAGGTAGTAAGTAGAGTTATAAGTACCCTAAAAGGGACCCTAATTGGGGTTATGGTACTTATAAGTCCCAAAAATAACCAGTTACTAAGTCCCCCGACCCTCCAAGTAACGGTTTACCCTATGCCTCCAAGGACCTCATTATGGGGTCTTTAAGGGGTCTCGGGCCCTAACTATGAGGTCCTTGGAGGGATAGGGTTAGGGTTAAAGGTTTAGAGTTTAGGGTTAAAGGTTCAGGGTTTAGGGTTAAAGGTTTAGGGGTTTAGGGTTTAGGGAAATACTCAGCTATGCCCTAGTTGTGGGGTTTGGGGTCACTGTTATGCGCTACTTGACCCAAAACCCTCCTCTAAATGTTTAAGGGTCTTGCTGGCCAGCAAGGTTGATATCAGTGAAACACTCGAAGTGTACAGATCACCTGCCCTTTTCACGCCCTTGTGGAGGGCTTCTAAAGCCTAAACCCTGAACCCTTAAACCCAACCTAGATGTAGCGCATTCCTTTTGCGAGCAGTCGCAGCTGACATACTGATATGCTAGAGGGGTTGGAATAAATGTGGAGGATCTGTCCTTGTTTATCTCTTAGTACTTCTGCTGCAGTATAGCCCAAAATCTTATTCTACTTGCTAAGGCCTCTACTCGTATATGACATTCCGTGTTGCCCTGAGCTAAGCCTCCTTAAGCCGTAATCTCCAGTCTCGCACCTACGCCAAATCCCGAACGCTCTTGTTAGTGTGTAACAGGGTTTAGGGTATGCGATTGTTGTGATAGGGCGTCCCTGAGCCAAAGTGTTGCAAGCGAGCACTACAGGTTGCAGACAGCCGCTTTCTCGGGCAGCACGCAGAGTGAGTGCACTGCCTGATACAGACCTGACGGGTAGAGCCAATCAGGGGATGGTAGCAAAACCAGTTGAAAGGCGTTACGCATTAATGGCAGCAGACCCGTATCGAACAACAACCAATCTTCAATAAAGCGGCAGACTACCAGGACATACTCCCATGCAAGTTGCTACCAGCGTTGCCAAGCTATTGGCTTACTATTGCGAAGTTCATTGCCAGTTGCAGCTAGCAGCTATCATCGCACAGACACAGCGAATGATGCTTGGGCTGTGTTCAGTCCTTCCCCTCAAACCCTCAATCCCGTTGCATAGTGCAGACACATCTCTCGCCCCTAAACCCAAAAAACCCTAAGCCCCTAAACCTCAAACCCTAAACACCTTGACCCCTAAACCCTTAACTCCCTAAACCCTAAACCCCTAAACCCCTAAACCCTGAATCCCTAAGCCCCAAGCCCCCGAACCCTAAACCCTAAGCCCCTAAGCCCCTTTAGAAGCCCTGAGCCCTTTGGGTTTTTCGATCTTCGCGTTATCTGTGACAGAAGCAGACAAGGCAGCCAAGCCTTGATGTACAAAGCTGGGCCTCTCTGGAAGCTCGGGTTTTAGGGTCTAGGCTGTTTTGGGCTTAGGTTCAAGGCTTGGGGTTTGGGGCTCAGGGTGGAGGGTTTAAGGCTTAGGGTTTGGGGCTTTGGGTTTAGGGTTTAGAGTTTAGAGTTTACGGCTTAGTGTCTAAGGCTTAGGCTGTTTGGGGGCTTTGGGTTCAGGGTTTAGGGCTTATGGTCTAAGGCTTACGGTTTGGGGGCTTTTGTTTCTCGTTTTGGGTGCATGGTTTCTGGATTTGGGGCCTAAGGGTGTCGAAGGCCGAAGGAGTGAGATACCGGAATCTAGACTGTTTACTGCGGTTGCAACGTGCCCGGGCTCTGAGAAAGTCCACAGTCTTGTCAGCGTTGACGAAGCAGCCGATACCCTCAGATTGCGGTATGGCCGCATGGCCAGCAAAATCGAGCGATGCAAATAGATCTGCGCCTATTGGGTTTCTATTGAAGCACCTCCAACTTTAAGTGAATTTTCTCATCGAAGCGTATGTAAGTTGGAAAACAAGAGCTCCAAATCCGTCCCGACGACCTTTGGATGCAGTAATTCTCCTTTGCCATACCAGGACCTTCCTTGTACCCCCAAATAGGGGTATATGGTCCCAAACAGCGGGTACCTAGGGTCTAATAGAGGGTAGACGGAAGGTCTAGGTAAAGTCCATGACACTGTACAAGTAGTGGCAGCACTGCGCTTCCCAGGAATCTTCTTCACAGGCCAGTCATGATTGCTCATTTATACACGCACGCCATTGTACAGCTGTCCGATCTTATCTGCCCCTGTTTAACCCTGTTTCGTTCGGACGGCTTATGTATAGTAGTATAGACCGTAATTATCCACCTAGCCATCTATCGGATCTATCGAGCCATCCATACAGCATCCAGGTGTCTGCCGTTTACCTATGCCTTGATACCTTCTGCCTGTCTCTGCGTATACAGGTCTGTTTCTCTATAGTACGCTAGTAATTAGAGGCAACACAGCACAGATGGATGTGTCATCCATCCATTCATGCATCCACCCAGCTCACTAGCCAGCCATTCATTCATCCACCGATCCAGGTATTCAGTTGCATTTGCATACATCCATCCCTCCATCCCTCCATCCCTCCATCCATGTATGCATGCATACAACATACATACGCACATACATGCACGATGTAAGACACCAGGAACAGGATCACATCCTGCGTCACAGCCTGTCACCAAACAGAGTTCCGAGGTCCAAGGGGCCAGTGCCCCATACCCTTAGGGGTACTTAGAAATATTTTTTTGATTTTTGGTTACTATAATCCCTAAGAAACAGCTAAAATTATAATTTTTGCTAGGGTTCTAAGTTCAGTATAGTACCCCCGGCCTGAATTAGAAGCCACCTGAGCCTCGGCTAGGACCTTCCTTTTAGGGTTTAGGGGTTTAGGGTTTAGGGTTCCAGTGTTTGTTTAGGGTCCAGGACTATCCTCCCTAAGCCCGAGACCCAAAATCCTGAAACCCTTAAAGCCCTCAATCCGCAGATGGTCGAACGTCGATCCAAAGGGAGAATGTGGAAATGCCGACGCCTGGGCACCGGCGAGGCAGAAACGCTTGTGGTGTTGTCCAAGTGGCTGTTGGGTGTACGATTAATATGGAATAGGGTTTGGGGTTTGAGGTTTATGGTTTAGCGTGGGGTTCAGGGGAAGAAGAAAGCAGAGGCGTGTATGTGGATTCTTGTATGAAAGTACACCTGCAAATTCGTGCTAGGTGTGAGTACGGTTCACATGGTGTTCATATTTGTTACTGGTGGGTTTGGGATGGTTTGTCATACTAGAGTTGCGGGACTGTTGCGGGTGTAACGTTTTAGAATTTTGGGGTAAGTAGTGCTCAAAGTCTTTCGAGTCACGGTGTCAGGATTTGGGCATATGCATTGTTGTTGTTTCTCTTGCTACTGTTAGTTCGTATTCTTGGTATTAGTATTGTACTTATTATCATTGTTATTGTCACTATCATAGTGCATACTGTATCTTATGCTGCATGTTTTACCATGGGGCATGGATTTAAAACCCTACGCATGACGAAGGTTGGGGACGACGTTGTTGCCTTGACATTTTCACGATGCCCCTCGAAGACGTTTGCAAGGCTCCAAAGACTAAAAGCCCAAGTACAGCCCGATACCCACGACTCTGAAGTCTGGAATATACAAAGGTGCCCAGGCTGCTGATGGTGATGGTGATGATGGTGATGACGACGGCCAAGGGGGTGGCCTTGAACGTGCAGTCATGACCGCTTACTATCTTTAGCTCGTATGGTATTGTCGCGATAGATGCACAAGGATCTTGGCACGTCAACGAATACTTCGCAATTGACAGCCATTGTTATCACCGCTGTTGGTGTTACATGCGTTGCGCATGAGACTAGGTTTTCTTCTTGCTGCAAGTGCTTCAACCGGTTTCTATCTTCCTAAGAACTGCAACGAAGGGTTTTTCGTATGTAGATTCCTAGAAGTGGTTTCCAGGTCTCACAATCAGGTTCAGAGTGTCGGCTCGAAGTTTCATTTGACGGTTGTTTAACTTTGAAGTCTTGGGGATCATGATGTAGAGCTACTTTAGTTCAGACTTTGTAGATTCTGAGCCGTAGCAAAACAGGTTTGAGGAAACTCGAGATGCAAATTCCATTGCCCACTATGGCTGTCCTGGCGACAGCGCAGATGGCTTACGCGTCGGACATTGCATTCATCAACGTTTCTTTCCCTCGGCTACTAGCACCACAAGCCATCGACTTCGAGCGACAACAGTTCCGAGTCATGAAGAGCGATCAACTTCCATTGTTTGGGTTCTTTTACCGGCAACATTCCAGGTGGGAATGCTGAACTACCGGCCAATCTTGGCTGATGATGGAGAAGCAGACTGTCACGATACTTTCATGGATTACCGCTTGGCAACATGTTGACCAACATTCTGCAATGAATTGTGGTCTTTGTAGGAACTCTAAACCCGCTGAGCGGTATAGAGAAGTAACCGTACCAGAAGAGTTTCAGTTGAAGTTATGTCTTTACCTGAACTCTTTCGAATTGAGCAACTCCGAATATGTTTGACTTTGTGTTTTACGGTTTAGGGTCGAAGTTAAGGCAAGACGAGGGGGCTTGCGGAGCAATCGTAAACCCCAAACTTTACAGCCTTAACCTCCGGAAGCCCCACACGCAACGCTTTCACATTACCTAGAAGATCGTTTACATTCCCAAACCCAGTAAAACACACACACACACAAAAAAAAAAAAAATGTTTGAATTACCTAGAAGATCTCCCACACTCCCAAACCCCGATAAAAACCCAAAGAAAGGAAAGCTCCCAAGCCCGAAACCAAAGTTGCAGGTGTCCCTGCTGCGGATGGTAGACCTCGAGCTGACGAATGCACAGGGGGGGAGGGGGTTAGGGCTGAGGGTTTAGAGTTTAGGTTTTAGGGTTTGGGGTTTAGCGCTTTTGAGCCATTTAAGGGTCAGGGTTTAGAGTCCAGAGTTTTTGTGTTGCAGTTTTAGAGCTCAGGGTTATATATTGTTTGAACTTTTCGGCGTAGCTGTAGGGATGTCACGGACATTATCGATGCTGCTGCTCGACGCCAGACTGTGAACAGTGGTAGTGTCAGTCGCAATGAAGATGATGCTGAAGCTAGCTGGGAGTGTAGTTGCAGTCGTCGTGGTCTTCACCGTCGTTGCGGTTGCATGTAGGTGTTGGTTGTGCCATTCGAGCTGCCGCTTCTGCGGCTGCTGTCAGAAGGGTAGTAACAACAGCTGGAGTGAGCCATCGCCAGCAAGTTTTTGACTCGGAGACTTGGGATTTAATTGAGGGGGCTTTATAATAATAACCTACATGTTTTGGGGTCCTTCATATTTTACTAGTATGATGGGACCCCCGCCCCCCGGAACCCTATTCTATTTATTAAACCGCTGACATTACCTCAAACCTTGTCCCGAGCTCTGAATACGCCCTTTTCACCACGATGTGAACTCGAAACCTGCGCCCCTTCACCCAGAGTTTAGGGTTGGTGGCTTAGGGGTTTAGGGTTTAGGATACAGGTTTCACGGGGTCTACTTGCAGCTTGGGTTGGGGGCTTCGGGTGGATCTTCACATGTCCCTTCAGCCTTGTTTGATTCTCATCGTTCGGGCGCCATCTAATTTGTATCACGGGTTGCTGGTTTGAGAGCTACTTCTGTCGTGCGGCTGCCCCAGAAGCGGAGGTTTACGGTTTAGGAGGGTTTAGGGTCTAGGGACTTAAGGGCACTGCCAATCAGGCTAATCAGTTGGAACTCAGGTGGAGTGAACGATGAACCCCACCCCCAAACTCAGAACCAGGAGCCCCACTTTCTGTAATCTACAACTTAAACAACTTGTTCGTTCACAATGCCACGCCTTTAATATGTTGCGTCTAGTAACTAGTAGGTGATTCTTAAGCCGTATAACACTTGAAAAGTATGATTCTGTGGCCTCCAGGTAAAACCGACACACGCCCCTCTTCCCAGCAGCAGAAGCTAGCAACACTGCAGCCATTTGGCCAGGCAGGTCGAGATGATGGAATGCCAACTTCCTTCCTGCGTGAGGCTGCCGGGGGATTTCTTCAGGGCCTTTCTACTATAGTATACGTTTCTAGTATGTGCTGTGTACGATATTGTATTGTATACTATGTTCTATATCATACCATCGTATACTACAACGAACATACTCCACTGGCTTTTTGTTCGGAAGAGAAGCGCGAACCTGCACAGACACCTAGCAGGCCACGACGACCCTAAATCAACTCTAAAGTCTAAACCCCCCCAGACCCTACTTGGAGGTTCATGGGTATATGATATAGTTACAAGTAGGGTTACTAGTAGGGTAACTATACATATAATCCATATTAGGGGACTTAGAACCCCACTTATAACTACCTATAATCCTACTATACCCAAAACCCCAAAACCTATAGAACCCTTAAAGGAACCCTAAACCCCACGTATAACTACCCATGAACCTCCAAGTATTCCCTTCATTCACTTCAGGGTTTCGGGTTTATAGGGTTTGGGCAACCCGGGCCCAGAGCCCAAACGACAAAAAACCCAAACCCTGCCTGCTAAGCCCTGATCACTTCAGGCTACCTAGACCCCCCAACTACCCTTTATAAGAGTCCCTACTTGCCTCTTAATGAGAAAGAGTAGAGCCCTTTAAAGGGTACTTGGGGGGGGGTCCTGGTAAGCCAGAAAGCTTTGCACCCGAAGTCCAGTCAGTCTTCCGTCTAAAAGCTTAGGGTTTTATACAGTTCCCTTAGGGTTCATGTGCCCATATACTAGATACTCTGGCCCTAAAGTACCTATATAGGGACTACTTTAAGGCCCATGTATGTACTATACAGGTACATGGACGCTTAGGAGTTTAGGGAGTTCAAGGGCCAAGCATTGGCAACTTCCAATCAATTCGGTGCGACGCATCTCCGGGAGCTTTTAGAAGCCAGGGATGATGAGTTAAGGTTTAGGTTTTCCAAGGTGTGTGTGTGTGTTGAGTTGAGGCCTTAACCCTAAACCTATACCCTAAACCCTGCTTGCGGATACGGCTTCAGGAGCCCTTTCGTCCTTTTCGAATTTGTAGGCCTACACCCGGCAAGAAAAGCGCTGCTGCAGGCGGCGCTCCTATCGGAGCTGAAACATCCCAACATCATCAGGCGCCTTGCTGGGTTTAGGTTTAGGGTAAGGGGTTTGTGTAAGGTGGCTTTCCACAGGGTTTCATAGGATTCAATTTAGCATGAAGCCTTATACACTTTAAAGGAATTACGGCCTCTGAGCGATGGAGATCTGAGAGATCAATACCCAAAGGGCCCTATGTATTGTTATGGGGGATACTTCCCTAAGTCATAATAGTTATTCCCAATATGGGAACCCTACATACGACAATATCGGTACATTGGACTCGGTAAGCAGTCCTCCACTAGTCCCCACACAAATTACTCATGCCTCTCCTATTACAGGGTCCTTCAGTAACTCTATTATAGAGCCCTACAGTCCCCTTATTAGGGCACCCTGGGAGAGAGAGCCCTATAGTACCCTTAAAGGGAACCCTATCACGGTTTAGGGTTTAGGGTTTAGGAGAGCCCTATAGTACCCTTAAAGGGAACCCCATCATAGTTTTGGGGCGTGTCTAGGGCTTGGGTCTATGGAAAGCAGCACAAGTCGAAATGCCTGTCATGTAGGTAGTTCTCTAAATTAGGGTTCCTTCTTAGGCCCCCAAAACAGTAAGGCACCCCCTTTAGGAAAAAGACCCCGGAAGAGGTCTGGGGCATTTAGGGTTTGGGGTTTGGAGTTCAGGGTTTGGGGCTTAGGTGTTTTCCAGTTTGGGGGGTAGGGTTTAACTAGTTTAGGGTTTGGGTTTGGAGTTTGGGTCATGGTCTAAGGACTTCGGATCTAAGAAACTAGGATTTGTACTTAGCTTTTGGGGTCAGGGTTGGGTCTAAGAATTTCGGGTTAAATAGTTTAAGGTTTGAGTGTGTGGGTGTGGTTTGCTCTTTTTAAGATTAGGGCCTGAGAATTTGGGATGCACAGTTGCGGGCTGCGCACGAATGGCCACATACGGGAACCCCTACAGGCCGAGATTGTCAGGAAAACAAGAGCTAGAGAGAGAGAGAGAGAGAGAGATAGAGAGATTTAGCCTCTATGCAACTCTACACGAAGAATCTGGCGATTTGCGATGTTGAACCATGGACTGGGATCTGGGGGCCGGAGCATCTGCATGCGTAGTTCTCTAAAGTCGCGTCCCTTAACGGGTTCTTTAAAAGGATCTATAGGGGTTTCTATAATGGTACTATAAGGGTAGTTCTCTAAATTAGGATCCTAAACCCTGAACCCTAAACCGTTGAATCTCTAGAACTTGTGGCCCTAAAGTCCACCCTCTTGGAGGCATTTTGGCGCCGAGATCCTGGCGAAGAAGGCCGGCTGAACACTGAATATGTTAAGAAAGTTCCGAGATACAGGGTTAGTTTTTTGAAACAAATTAGGGTTTAGGGCTTAGTGCCTTGGGATTTGTTTGTTCGTTTCGTTTTTGTTCTCACAGCCTGTGTTCCCATGGTCTGAGCATTCACGATTTAGACCCTGTAAGCCCTAAGCCCGAAACCTTCAACCGTACTGTGATAATCCAGACTTTCTGTGCAGTCGGAGAAGGGCCAAGAAGCCCAAAACAGCAATCGTACTCCGATACCTCGAGCACGTGCTAGACCGGCCTTCACATGTTTTCCCTATGCCCGAAACCCCAAACCCTACAGGCTCTTTGTGCCTTTTGAAACGTGGGGGCTTAGGGTTTAGGGCTTGGTCTCATAAGACCCTGTGCGCGTTTAAAGGACCTATGTAAGGAAATCAGATTGAGGAACCCTAAAGAGGGAGGTTTCTTGCCCGAAGCCCCCGGAAATCCGAAGACCCCAGAGGTTCTAGGGCTGATCCACGATGCAACAGGTAGCCGAAGGTCGAAACCCTAAACACGAAACCAGAAACCCTAAGCCCGAACCCCTAAAGCCGTCGCAGCCTAAACGCAAACCCTAAAACCGAAACCCCGAATCCGAAATCCCAAAACCGTAGCAGGCTAAACCCCCTAAACCCTAAACCCTAACAGAGTAGCAGCCTAAACCCCGAAACCCCTAAACCGAAACCTTAAAGCAGTAGCAGGCTGTCATGAGCACCGAGTACGTGCACGAGAGTTGGAGCTCTTGGTTCAAGAGGCCGTCAGCTCCTTTGAATTAAGGGTCCATGTACCCCTTTAAGGGTTCCTTTAAGAGTTCCTACAAGGGTTCCTTTAAGGGTTCCTATAAGGGTTCTATAAGGGTTCCTATAAGGGTATAGGGTTTAGGGTTTAAGGGTCCATGTACCCATATATAGAGATACATGAGCCCCAAAGTACCTATATAGTGACTACATTAAGGCCAATGTATATCCTATGTGAGTACATGGACCCTTAGGGTTAAGGCTTATAGATGGGTTCAGGGTTTAGGGTTCAGGTCATCGCTATATCTATCTCTATCTACCCATCTATCCATCTGCATCTGACTATCAATCTATGTTTCTATCTATCCTGTATGTATGTAACTATGCCTAACTTGATTTACCTATAAGGTTCACTACATGTAGTTGTTTTCGTGCTCGGGTGTACAGAGGGTGCTCAGCTCCTATATGTTGTCTGCGCGGGGTGCTGTTCGATGCCTCCCCGGAGATGTCTCCAACTGGAGGTCGTTCTCTAAAGTAGCAGCGTTGGTTTTGGATCCCGACAACTGCACCGTCACCCGTTCTTTGCACAGCCCCGCATTTTCGAGTTGTCGACTGCTCGGCGTGGCACCTGCACCGAACCATTCCGAAAGGCTGGAGGTGTGCTCGCAGTTCGAGCGGGTCCTCGATGTCAGGCGGGGCCACTTCCAGTTCATAGCCAGAGACAGGGCTTGGCACTTGGGACTTGCTACGGCCTGCGGGTTTTGAAGTGGAGGGTTTCTAGTTGAGGGATAATTAATTAGGCAGGCTTTATTAATTAGCAACATTGCATAGCACAGGGGTCATGAAACGACCTTAAAGACCACCCCAAAACCACACCGCACCGCCAGCTGCATGACTGCTGAAACGCTGGTCGTAGCCTCAGTGAGACCTTTATCTCTCGCAGCTCCACGAACCCGCCCCCAAGACTCTCCGTGAAACCCTGGTGTACGATCGCTCTGAAGCCCCCGGGACGACACTTTCACGTGGCAATCCGTACGGAATATTGGTGGTGGATCCCTGGACTTGTCTATCACGGTAGCTGGGTCCTCGATGTTTTTACTTCTTTGGGGGTTCATATGGGAGTTTCCGAAAATTAGGGGTACCTTATTTGGGGTCCTTATAATACGTATGTTCGGAAACTCCCATATCACCCATGTATGATGGACAGGTTGCCATATCCTGGGCCAGGGAACTCAACAGCTGGGAAAATTGATCATCATGTCGACTGAGCGCCTCAATGTTCAACACGGCTCTTAGCTCCGAAGAAGTCCCGATGCTGACTCCCAACTCTGAAACCCAGCCATCTTGTGTTTACTTTTTGGAATGGTTGGGACCCTGGAATAAGGAAACAGGGTAATGTGGACCCACGCTTAAACTTCCGGCTTGTGTAACAATGCCTTCCAATAAGGATACTAGATACTTGTCCTTCGGGCCGTATTTTAAACAGAGGGATTTTAACAGAGGGGTAGACGAAAAGGCATGGCATGACCCAGATCTCACTAACCAAACCCTAAGGGTCCATGTGCCCAAATAGAGATACATGAGCCCCAAAGTACCTATATAGGGACTACAGTAAGGCCAATGTATATACTGGATGAGTACATGGACCCTTTAGGGAAAAGAAGTAGCCGTAAACCCTAAATGATGAGTTGGTAAACCACGAGGGTTGGAAGCCTCCCTTTACAGTCCCTCTGGCAGAGGCAAAAGTTCAAGCAGATGCTCATGGGCCTAAGCTATGTGCATCACCAGGTTGGACATCTCACACAGGGGTACAGGGTTTCAGGAGTCACGGGGTTCAGAGATTTAGGGTGGTTTTGGGGGTTTCATTTGGGGCTGAGATCCGCAAATCACGAAAGCTAGCTCTGTGGAGCTCGCGGGAGTTGCCCTTTAGCAATTCACTTGTATTAAGGCACTAGGGAAAAAACAGGGTTTGCACCTTATCAGGTGGGACGTCCAAGAGTTAAGGTGGGGGGTAGGGGGGGGGGAGGGCCCCCCCCCCCCTTCACCTTGTCATTATTGTGCGTTTTCCACTGATAAGGTGCGCTTCCCTCCCCCCCCTCCTTTAAGGTGGTTGTGCCTGGGATAAGGTGGAGGGGGGGGGGGCCCCCCCCCCTATCATGAGGTCCCCCCCTCCCCCCCCCTCCTCAAGGTCCCTTGGTTTTGTTTGTGTCTGACGTTCGGCGACTGAAGTGCGGTCTTCTCTCCAGAGTTACCTCTAGTTGTCGTTCGCACATTACTTTCTCAAGAGTTAAATGAACGAGCAACGCCTGCACCCTTCACCGGCCCAAACTTTCCCTCCGCTACTGTCGTGCACATCGCTTTGCAGAGCTCAGCACCGGACCTCGTGCTTCTAGCTTTCGTGACCAGCTCTCAAGTTGTGTTCGGGCCCACCAAGTGTATGCTGCAGCTTGACATTACGGCCTAGGCATGGTTCATGGCTTTGTGCGTTTGGATGCCTTCGGGGGTGTAGAGCTGAAAATTGCGATGCGGAGTCTCAGGCATGAGCTGCAGGGTTTCAGAACCAGGGCTCAAGAATCAATATAGACCCTATAGACCCCTGATTCTGGGCTTTGGAGTACCATACTTTAATACTTTTCTCTTAATGGAACCATTATGAACAAAAGTTCATACTTCTTTCTCCCTGGTTACTTAAAAGCCCCGGATTAAGGACCTCCACCCGCTTTTTTCAAAGGCCCTGATCTCAGGATGCCTGTTGTCGTCATAATCGTGACTTAGGGGGTGGGGTTGGCTGCACTCGTGTTTAGAGTTGCTGGTTGAGGAGTTCGAGTTCTCGGCGGGTGTCGTGGATCAGGGATTCGGAGGAACACAATCAAACCTCCGAGGCCAAAAGCTGCAGCTGTCTTGGGTTGTTTCGGGGTTTGGTGAAGCCTGAACTTGGAAACTTGGAATCGGGGGTGTTCGGATTTCGGGTTTCCGAGACGGGAAGCCCGAAATCCTTCATTCAAGCCCGGAGCCCGGAATCCTGAACCCTACGCACCTATAGTCTCCATTGTAGTTCCTTTTTGTGGTTACCTCATAGGATCATAATTATAAATTTAGGTTAAGCCATAAAAAGGACCTACAATGGAGACTGTAGGTAAACCATTTATGTAAACCCCAGACATCCCACATCTCTAAAGCTTCAGAGATCTTCGTCGGGAAAGGACCCGAAATTTTAGTGAAGCGATCTAAACGGATGGTTTCGGGTCGTTTACATGGGGGTGTGTAACTCGCCAATGCCATAGACTCTTAGCCTTCGTGGTAGCTTGGGTGACCGCCGAGAACCCAGCCAAATTCTAATCTACGCATGTTGTGCCTCTTCTATTGGCAAGTAACCCCTAGCTTTTGAGATTTCGTCGAGGAGTGAGGCATCGGAATGTGTAGGGCTTCCCTGCCCTGTAACCACGCGATCTCCCTCGAAGGAAGAAGGAAGTGTAACTAGCTGCATCCCAGAAAGCTTTGAAAGCCTAGCAGTCTCTACCGCAGGGGCTAATCCACCGAAACCTGAAGCCGGACAACCTGTTTCTGGATCTCAGCGGTACGGCCTGGCTCCCAGAGTGTCCTGTGAATATTCTCGGAGTTTCGGTTGTCAGAGAATCATCCAGCATCCCTAAACTCCAAAGCTTCATCGGAGACCGCAGCTTTCAGTTAACAGCAGACTTCAGTTCCTGAGGGAACCCACCAAACCCTAAACCGCGCAAAAACGCAACGAAGCCACAAGCCCTTATTATTCAGCCTCGAATCCATGCAGCAACGAGCTGGTTTAGGCTTCAGGGTTATTCAACTGCGGCTCAGGGCATTCAGAGTGTAGGGTTTAGGGTTCAGTAGTTTGGGATTTCAGGTTTAGGCTATTGCGGTTCAGGCATGGCTTAGGACTTTGCGTGGCGGGTTTCGATTTTGAACAGCCCCGGGTCGCTAGTGAGTTTGTATCGGGCTTGCCCCAACATGAACGCCAAGGTTTATTATTTATAGGTGCCTAAATAATTACCTATACTACTTTGGGTCCCCTTAATTACTAGAATTATGGTATCGTGAGCCTTGAAACCCTATTGTAACTATTAAGGGCTCTACATTGGGCTCTGACGAAATTGCGGGGGCCTTCGTGGTACCTCTTCTGGTCGGCGCCTTCTTGCGTACTATTAGACGGAACCTTAATCTGGACATGCATCAGGGGTTCACCCCGAATGACACAGATTGGAGGCTCCCATCTTCAGACCTTATACTCGAGCTCGCAGTCAAAAAACACTTAGCAGAGTGCTACACTCACATATTTCCTATCACAACACACTGATGCGAACTCGGGTTCTGAACCCCCAAAGCCCTGAGCCGTAAATTAAAGCCTGAACCATAAACCTCCTCCCAGGTGAAACTTGGCGACTTCACCACAACACGAACGCTGGACATCCCGTTCCAGGCCATGCACTGCAAATGCTGGGAATAGGAGTTGTCGTACAAGCAGTAGCGGCGGTAGTAGCAGTGTCGTAGTCGTCGTCGTCGTCGCAGTCGTAGTAACGTAGTAGTAGGAGTAGGAGCACGAGTACGAGTACGAGTAGTAGTAGCGTAGTAGTAGTCGTCGTCGTAGCAGTAGTAGTGGTAGTTGTTGTTATTGTACTACTGGGACAGTACTAGTACTAGCATACAAGTACGAGTACTAGTACTTAGTGATAGTAAATAGTAATAGCAATAGCCTGGCAATGGCAATAGAAATAGTATTAGTAGTGGTAATAGTGCCAGTGCCGTTACCAGTCCGAGTACTGTTACTACTACAATCCCAATGCCGAAACCCAGCCGGAAATCGCGAATCCTTATACCTTATGAGTGCCCTAATCCCGAAACCTAGGACCTTGGCTTCTGAAAGACGTAAGCGCTCACCTCTCAACCCTCAACCCCTAGGCCGCAAGCGAAAGCCCTGAACCCTAAACCACTCTTTCAAGAGCCCTGCTTTGCAGAACCGGTATAGAACCCTAATAGAAGCCTTGCTGAAAGATTCGTTAAAGTTTTAACGGAACATATAGAACCCTTGTAAAACCCGAAAACAGGTCTACACGCCGGAAGATCCGAAAGAAAGGGATCGCTCTGGGCGGGAGATGAGACGGCTTTGGTATCGGGCGCCCGGCACTCAAGCGGCTGCAGGTGCCGATAGTTGCAGTTCTTATTATTGGGTTCGGGGCCTTTCGTTTACGGCTTACTGTCCGGATAGTGAAGGTCCTTATTGGGTTTAGACAGGGTTTGAGGTGAAACTTATAAGAGTTTGGGGGCTGAGCAGCTCCCCAACGGCACAGGATTTCGAAGCATGTGATTGAACTACATCTGCCAGCTGAATGATTAACGAGTTCGCTTTCAGTTTTTGGGATTGGACAGGCTAGGTTCCAAACCACATGTGCGATGGCTTTAGTAGACTCTTCTGCAAAAGCATGTTACCTCAAATCCCAGTAAAGCCTCGGAGAAGTCTGCACAAGTCAACTTTCAGGCTTGCTTTCGAGACCCTAACCCCTAAACCCAAAGCCATGAAGCCACGCCAAGGCCAGAGTTGATCTTGCGAGACGAGATCTACGGCCCTAAGGTGGACATGTGGTCCGTCGGGCAGGGGCCCCCAGATGTCAGCTGTCTTGGAACCAAAGGGTCGGCGGTTTAAAGCTTTTGAATCGACCGGTCAATCCAGCAATTGCAATGGATGGCACAAGCATAGGAATCATGAGAAGGCACTGCGCTGTGGGACGGCTACTACTACTACTACTACTACTGCTGCTGCTGCTGCTGCTGCTGCTGCTGCTGCTGCTACTAATTACTACTACTACTACTACTACTACTACTACTACTACTACTACTACTACTACTACTATTACTACTACTACTACTACTACTACTACTACTACTAGTGCTGCTATTGCAGCTGCCGCTGCTACTCCTACTCCTTCTCCTGACCCTGTTGCTACTGCTACTGCTGCTGCTGCTGCTTCTGCTAGATACTACTGCTACTATCAACTACTCCTGCTGCTGCTCTTTCTCTTTCTGCTACTGCTGCCACGGCTGCCACTAGGAGTACCATGATATTCTCGTTCGCTTGCATGCGTCTCAACCCCGAGCGCTCTTCCCTGGATCAGCTGAAGCCAAGCTGAGGTGCCTGCTCGTTGAGGCAGCATCCGGGAAGTCGCTGTTCCAGCTACGCACCTACTCAGACAACGTTCGTTCGGAATGTATTGGCCTGGGCTGGAGTAGACTAGTTTGTAGCATTAAGGGATGAGCAACAACATTTGTGAAAAACCTTTGGCAGACCTGGCGGGCAGATCCACAGAGCGTCTTAGCGACCCAAGGTCGTCTAACCCGCATTAATGTTCGTTTGCACAGGCAAGGCTCAGTAGCGGGCGAGCAAGTTCGAAGAAGGTTTGTACGGCCCATTAACCTCGGCTTGAGATCTGCCAAGGAGGTCGTACTTCCAAGCTCTAAGATGATCATTTTAATTGACCGTGCGGCTTTTGCTGCCACGGTGGGGCGTGGTGCATATATGTATACCTGTATATGCGTAATCATATGCGTATGTACACAGTATACATGTACACAAGTACAGATGTACACATGTACATATGTGTATGTGCATATGGACGGTGAGACACATGGTCGTGCCTGTACATATGTATGCATATGCAAACAGGCATGTGCATACTACCGCAGGACGAAAGTTCGCCATACAACATGAAGTTGAGAGATCACCACATGTTCACCCCTTTTCCCCCGTAGAATCCTAGCACAACCCGCAAAGCTCTCCGCCGGAAACTATATAATAGTATAAATTTATTCCCGGAAAGTAATTACTCCGCCACGCTGGCCACGTAAAATGGGTCTTGGGGCTCTCCGCCTCTCCGCGGCATACATCTATGTTATAAGCTGCATGTCGAAACTTTCGGCCCGCTGGTGTATATACCCACATATATATATATATATATACATGCACACATGCAGAGATCCATATGCATGTATGAATGTATGCATATGTACGTGCACATGTACATGTACCACGTACATGTACATACATATGTTTATGCTGTTTGTGTATGTAGAACTTATATGTTCATGTACATGTAACATGCATATGCGTATGTATACGCTTTTGCATATGCTAAGGTACATGTACGTGATATCTACATGTATATGTTTATGGACATGTACATCTACATGTATATGTTTATGTAGATGTAGATGTATATATATATATATATATATATGTATGTATGTATGTATGTATGTATGAATGTATGTACAGAGAAACTACAACGAATACAACAAAATTAAAATGCTTCGGCCCAAACCCTGCGCGCTAGGCGCGAAATGCTTAGATTAGATTGCACATGGCACGCCTCTGCTCTAAACCCTATCGCTTCCCTTACAGTAGAAGCCAGAAAGTTGGAAGTTGGAACATCATTATCCTCATGCCCTTAAGGTAAAGTGCAGGGAATCCTAGCACTAATCATCCTAAATCCATGTTCCAACTTTCTGGGGTTCACTGTAGCGTCTTAGGATTTTTAATTACGGTGTTAGGGTTTTTGGGGTTAGGATTGAGAGGCCCAAGGTGCCTTTGTAGGAACCCCGTCAAGGGCTAAGTAAAAACTATACAGGTACCTGGACCTTGCAAGGCCTTGTAAGCTCGTCAAAACCCGATAGATCCGTTCAAGAATTCCTTAACGGAATCCCGACTATAGGACTCCCCTAGTACCCGTAAAGGGAGCCCGATTTTGGAACCCCCTTGTACCTTTAAAGGGAGCCCTCGTATAGAACACCCTTAAAGGAAGCGGTCTGTCGGGCGTCCCAAGGTCTGATGGTGAGATGGACCATCTTTTCCGCGTCTTCCGCGCCTTGGGCGTGAAGTAGCATCGCTGGCTTTACGAGCTTTCGGGCTTAGGGACTGAGGGGCTTGGGTTTAGTAGGGCCTAGAGGTTTAGGGCTTATAGGGGCTGAGGGATCACAAGGTTTAGGGTTTTAGGGGTTTGGGAGGGTTTAAGGTTTAGGGCTCAGAGGCTTGAATCTTCGGTTTTCGCAAAGCCCAATCCTGTCACCGCAGCATTTGGATGTAAATCAGATTAAATGTGTACTTCTCCGACATCCACTTTTTCTCACTGTCTCATTGCTACTGCCTCTGCTTGTTGCTCCACCTGTTGCTGCTACCGCCGCTACGACGACGATTTCAGCGGGGAGGAGGACGACTGTGATGCTGCTGCTGTGCTACTGCTGCCGCTGCTGCTGAAACTGAAGTTGAGGTTTATTGCGGTACGCGCAGGATATTTGGTTTAGTGGTTAGGGGTTTAGGGTTTAGGGATTTAAGGTTGAGGGTTGGGGGCTTCCGAGTGGACAGTTCAGGGTTCGAGGATGCTCGCATTGTGTAGTGTTGGTGTTGTCGGCAAATTCAAAGCATCGCCCCCACCCCGTATCCTTCCCTGTTCCCTAAACCCTTCAATCCCTAAACCCTAAGCCCTACAGCCTTAAAGCCCAAAAACCCTAGACCCTGAAGCCCTGAAACCCTAAACCCTAAACCCAATACGCATATCCAGCCCTATTCGCTGCTTGCCCAGGTGTCGTTGGTACACCAACGGTGGAGACGTGGCCGGAGGTCGGCTAGTTTTCTGAGAGCTCCTGAGCAGAATCGGTAGGGTATTACAAGCGCCTTAATAATTAGACTAGGGTTCCTTTCTTCAAAGTGGTAAATATGGGCTACTACAAGGGCTATTATAAGGATGTAATATACGGGCTGAAATACTTACCTATACTGTTTGGGGGTGGTGGGGGGGGGGGGGTATTTGATGATTATTTGTCGCATATTAATGGGCCCCAAAACCCTATTCTATTAAGGCCCTATATTAAGGTACCTCCACCTCCCCCCGTGGAGTTTCTTCTGTTGGATACTCAGAGTGTTAAGGTTGGGATCGGTTGAGGAAGCAAGGTAGCACATAACAGCTGCAATTGAGGATTTGCACATGTTGCAACTGGGTTTGTCCATGCTCGGTATTGGCAGCAATTATGTTAGTTGTTTTTCTATATCTTGTGATTGCTGATGATTATTACTGTCGGTCCCTTGGCTCGATGAGTCAGCCTGCGCCCGATACCTCGAGATTCCTCTTCCTCAGTCCATGTCAATTCTTTTGGTTCCGGGCCGGATCAAATGGGGTAATATTTCTTGAGGCTCCTATTTGCCATGTTGGGCCTCGAGGGTGGGCCCGGTCGGGCTTAGAGCGTCAGGTCTTCTTGTCCATTGGGTTAGCCGGGGCCGTGCCATTCTAAGCAAGCCGGGATCGGATCTGAATGATAACACGAACATTGACCCACACCAAGAATTCTAGCTATGAGCCTATCCTTGGTCTTATGAGCCACTGCAACCTTAGCCCGGGGTTGATTTGAACGGACTTCTTTAACTTTCCCTGATCCCGAAGTCTGTACGACTCGATAGAACTGGATGGATGTGTGCATGTACATACATACATGGATGTATACATAATATATATATATATATATATATATAGATAGATAGATAGACATATAGAAATCTACACATATATGGTCATATACCGTACTGGCTGCCTGTTCTCCCAACCCTCAGCCTCAACGCTGAAGCATGCCAGTTCCTGTGCACGAAGCACTACTCTGCGAAATTTCCGCACTACGAGGGATTCGACCTCTCGCAGGCGGGCGTGCGGTTTGAGAGGTTCGGGTTTCTGTTATGAGGGTTTGCGTCTCTATAAGGGTTACTGTAAGTCTTCGGGTTTAAGTGTTTGGGTCTTAGAAGTGGGGAGTGTTAGGTTTTTGCGTCTTGAGGGATTTGGAGCTAGGGGTGTAAGGCTTAGTATCGTGACCTCTGAAGTGGCAGAGCCAGTGGGTTTAGGGTTTAGGGTTTAGGGCGGTTTGTCGTAGAGTGGCGCATACGCGGACATATCTTGCGACCGTGTAATTTCGAGTGCATATAGTCGTATGACGATTAATTAGTCGTCGGAGACTGACTGCGGATGGCTCTTTTTTAAATCCTCCCACCCCATGCCGTCTCTCGGCACGGCTACGGCGCCGACTTCTGTGAGCCAAGCAGTGCCAAGCAGCAGAACTTGGGGCATTCACGAGAGTTCCAGAGCCGATTCTGCTCACGCGGATTCACATGCGATTCAGTAGCCATCCATGCCGGCAGGTGCGATCACGCGCCCTTTTACTGCCTCTTTTGAGAATGCGAACATGATCTGTCATCAAAAGGTGCTTGTGTGCAGGAATGGCAAAACAGACATTGCGACGAGGCCGCACTTGCACTTCCCTGACACAACCAACCGGTCCAGTGTGCTGGGGCCGATGGCACTGACTGCGTGGCAGAATCTTCCCAAGCTCCGCTTGTGGTGCGAAAGGGTAAAGTCCAAATAGGCTGATTTCATTGAAGGCGACGATCGGCTTCCAGGATTGCGAACTTTAGACCCGAAACCCAGAGGCCGAGGGGTTGAGGGCTCCGAAGATTACGTTTGCTCCAGCGCCTCATCTCAGATGCTGGGAATACCACATACGAAGTCAAGTATGGACATCCGAACCCCAAAGCTCCGACCCATTTTAAACCCTAAACAGACCCGAAACCCTAATCCCTGAAGCCTAAACCCTAGACCCTAAACAAATCCTGGCTCAAGTGCGCGCAGCCGTCCACTCCCGCCGGGCCGGTTGCACAACACAATCTTTTGTGCATCGCTATGGCGTATGTCGAGCACTTCGTGTCTTTCACGGTGGACGTTGAGATTACGCCAGAGGGACCGGTAACTGACTACAGGCTTCTACCAAGCTACACGCGGGCGCTCGACAGAACGATGTCTCTTGTCGCTGCTCTGATTGCAGCAATTTTGGCTATGGCGTTGCTCTGGCTAATTGGTGCGGTACCTCACGAGGCGGTACCTTCTGTGGATGTGGTGCCAGCGCTGTTCTTCGCCGATTCCCACAAGGGTGGTGGCAACCTGACCCATGCAAATAAGTCCAACACTTCTTTCAAGATGATTCACCACACTAGTATCACGTCACCTTCACCTATCTGGGGCCCACCAAGTGTTACAGGTAAGCACCAAAATGATGATGAGGATGGAGCAGGGGATGGCGAAGGTACTACGCCAGCCTCACCTCCTGCGCACCTGCAGCCTGTCACTAAAGTGGCATCTTCTGAATACCAAGGCGTTGACAGCAATGACTTTTTGAAATCTTCAGGTTGCATGGCCACATACTCCAGAGGTGTTTATTGTTTTGCTTGGGCATGTGATGGCTGCCGCGCAATTGGCGCATTTAGTCAACCGTTCTTCGACTGCGAGTCGGTGACTAGCGAAGAGCCTGCGGCTTTCGGCACACTTCAGATTCCTGGACATGGCCCCAAGGCATATCTGCTGGCGGCGACCACGGTGCCCCATCTTTGGTACTGTGCTGAGAAGTTCCCGAAATGGTGGGAGCACTCCAACCATGCAGGTGGCTCAAAATGTGCCAGGTGCGTGCTGATCCCAGAGGCTTGCTCAGTCATGCGAACTGAACTGTGCCGGCTTTACTGGCAGGCAGGACGTGGCGATGACTCTGGCTGGACAGAGTTCGCCATCTTCTTTCTAAATGTTGGTGTGCTGGTATGGGCACTGGTCGGCTTCACGCCATTCTTTATCATGCCACTTCAACATGTGGCATTTGTGGTTGAGCTAACAGATTTGGCATTCTGGACTGACCTGCTCCGATTTTGGATTCACCTCTTCTACCTCTTGGAAATCATGGCCGCGACAGCTGTGGCAATGGTTGAAGGGGAATTTGCTCCATTGACTAATGAGCTGGGAGCGGCCGATGCATCGGCGGGCATGTTTGTGGTCGATGTGTTCGGTCACGTCAGCCATCTTATTGTGTGGAGTTGGAACGCGATGGTCATACTTGGAAGAGGAAGAGAGGTCACCAGGGTGCGGCCATATCAATTTTGCAGCTCATGGGAGGTGACGCTAACGATAATGGCACTGATTGGGCTCGCCGGCGAGCGAGCCTGGTCGGGCGCCACTAACTAGCAGCGCATCGCCGCGGCTCACGTCCGGAGAGGCGTGCGCCGCAGAAGGTATGAGCCGCCGAAGCGCGGACAATCTCTTTAATTAGATGCAATTTCAATGTGGCACGTCCTCCAGGGCATCTTGCTGCTCTCGATCTGGGCCCAGACGTTGCTGCGGGGGAACCTTCTGGGGAAGAACTTCTTGAATCAGGATTCGGCTCTGAGATGGTGACAGGGACCCCTTCTTCGGTGGCCTTCGCTTCGGTTAGTGCTGGAAGTGCGACGGTGATCCTAGAGGATTCTGGGTCAGTCTTCGAAGGGTCCCAGGGTGAACAAGGTGAGAAGGGTGCCAAACGAAAGATGGAGGAATGAAGATGATGTACGTCTGATCGGCTGTGAGTGCTTTTGTCGAACAACAAAGTCTCGACATCGTTTGCTCGCCTAAACAGGCTTTTGGTACACTTCGTGCGGACCCAAAAAGGAGCCCTTAAAAAAAAAAAACAAATCCTGAGCCCCAAAGCCTAAAGCCAGAGAAAGGGTGATCTCGATCTAGGGCTCATGGGTAATCAGAGCAACTGCCAGCGACCTCAGTATCCCTTGATTGAGGAACATACTTTAAGTCATACTAGTCCTACCAACTATAAATTAAAACATATTTCCCCAGGGCTCCAGTTACCTAAATAGAAGGTTACGGGGGTACATAATATATGGTTAGCAACCTACTATTTAGGTAACTGGAGCCCTAAAGGGAACTCCAGAAAGTTGGAATTTGGTTTCAGGGTAGGATACCCTATCATTTACCATAAAGGGTTTAGGATAATCATATTCCACCTTTCTGGCTTTTATTTTAGGGTTTCTTAGTTAA